TTTTTCCAGTTTGTTTCACGTGCCAAGATAATAGGTTGATCGAATCTGGCTACGTGATTTTTATTGTTTAGCATATGATCTGCAGCCGCTGATTTTCCTTTTTCTTTCAACCCGCGTCGATGTTGTTGCATCCTTTCCATCACTGCCAGCTTCGTTTGTCCAATATATACTTGTGTACAGCGATCACATTTAATTTTGTACACAACACCAGTGTTCGTATCATCAATACCTTTGTAATTTTTGATGAACATTTTCCGCACCGTTAAACCTTCCTGGAATCCGAATTTCACTTCTGTTGTTGGAAAAGTCTTTTCAAGTTTCGTCTTTAGTTTATCTGCCATGATTTTAGTTTCATTACCAAAGTACGTCAGCGATGTATAAAAGAGCTTGTTCTTTATTTTCGTTGGAACCTGCTGCTGTTTTTGTTCAATAGTATATTTAATTTTTCTTTTAATTAAATTTTTTGGATATCCATTTCTTATTTATTGTTATGAAAAGTCGAAACACACATTTTCTTAATCAGCTCGACGCGCTCTATACAATCATGTAGAACAAACTAGGAAAACGTTTTGCTTCACGTTTGCATTATTGGCTCCGTATGCACCGATTAACTTCCACTTTTGACAGGAAAAAGCTAAAGAGCTCCAAGTTTTACCCTTCGAAAGAGGAGACTGGAGGACATGTTTTCACAACCAAAATTTTTCCCAGAAGAGCTTTTTGAAACAAGTTTTCTGGGGGATCTTTGGAAAACTAGCTCGTGTGTAAAAATTTTCCAATACGATTGTATCGATTTCCCAAGACTAGTCCCCAGTGACGATTGGTAGCCTTCAAGACGGATGAACTATGCATATTCAACCACACTGAGTCGACCGGGAACCGCAAGTGATCTTTATAGTGACGGTACAATTCAGGAACGATTGCAGATGGATCTCTAATAACTCCCGCATCTGTTGTTAGTCCTTTGATAGGGGCGCTGATGACTGAAAGTGTCGCGATGTAAATCGCCAGAAATAATTACTGTCATTTGTTTTACAAGTTTTCAAGAAATTTTCCCATTGTACTGCTCGATGTTCGCGGATGTGAGGGTGATTAAATTTGTATTAGACGGATTCGCAACAATAAGTAATTATAATCGCTATCGGTTCAAGCACACTTTCCTCTATTGTAGTAAATAGCAAAATAATCTAAGTAACTAAATACCAAATTACTCATATCTTGTTTATGATGTATTTTTTCTTATTACGGTCGTTGTTTTTCTTCATATTAAATGTTTAACAGAAACACAATCTTGAAGACGGCGCGCGTAGTAAGAGTCAGAGCTAATCACCTGCATAATTTTTGACACATTGAAAATAAAACGTACCCGCGCTGCAGTTTGCAGGTTAGAAAAAAAATGTTTCGTCCACAGGCAGGGAGTGCGGGTAAAAGCTTCTGCACTGCTCTGCCCGGAAGTGCCCACCCCTTGAGATTTTACTTCAATGTATAATACATACTAAATTTATAGGTGATAAATGCCGTGTGGAGATAAAACGCAAGAAAAAGTGCGCGACCTAGCTTTAACATGGAAATTCAGACTAGTAAAGATGGAACTTTTTTTGTAGATGCCCACCCCTTACCAAATTTCTGGCTACGGCCCTGACTGTAGGTGGACCCTAAGACGAGGTAAACAATTTTTTTTCTGCTGACTACTATCAGTCTGTATAACATATGTATAACTATATAACACCCTACATATCCTAAAACAGACCAACGAATGCACAGCGTTTTCTCTCAAAACACGTTTTTTGTTCGAACATGCTCAGTGCGAGGCACTTTTTTAAATAACTTCAAGCCAGAGATCTCGGGTTGGTTTTATTTTAAACTAGACACCTCACTGCGTGGGCTGATGGGACCAAATTTTTGAATTCGGTCTTATTTTTCTAGAAAATCAAGGATCTCTGGAAAATCCCAACGGATTTTTTGGGATTTTAAGAATCTTGGATCTCTCTTGGAAAAATATGGTCCCATCAGCCCACGCAGTGAGGTGTCTAGTTTAATATAAAACCAACCCGAGATTTCTGGCTTGAAGTATTAGAAAAAAGTGCTCCGCAGTGGAGGATTCGCTTTTACTCATTCAATTAAACATAAGTAAATAACGTGAATTGTTTCTGTAGAAAACTTAGTTCATGAAGCATTTTAACACAATTAATTTGGACTTCTTGTAGAAATTCTTGTAGACGAAGGTGGGCTTGGAAGAAAGTTGGTTTTTTTCAGGAGAAACATGAAGATTCTTGTGTAAAAAGGTGCCCTTCTTCAGGAGAAAGCATGAAGTTCTTGTGGAGAAATATCGATTTCTTCGGGGAAGAAAATGAAGTCCTAGTAGAGAAACACCGAAGTTCTTGTGGAGAACAGCCGATTTTTCCATATGAACATGAACTTCTTGTGGATAAACATCGATATCTAGTGGAAAAAACATGAAGTGCTTGTGGGCAAACATTCATTTATTCAGGGAAAAGCATGAAGTTCGTGTGGAGTAACATTCACTTGTGCACGAAAAATCAAGAAGTTCTTGAGGGGCAAGGTGGATTCGTGCAGAGAGTAACTATGTTAGTTATTACATTAAAAATTTTACAACTCGATCACAACACCAGAAAACAAGAGTTAAGTTTGAAGATCACCTCAATAATCGTCAAATATATTATATTAAAACGTTGCAAGATGTAATGATACCACAAGCAACAAAAACTGTAGCTCAAGTGACGGCGGTTATGTTTACACCATCATCAAGAGTGATGAACAAACAACGTGTTGCGGCCCCACATGCATTATTGATGATCAACCACAATATAACAGCAATATCATTATTAAATACCACCAAACCAGCTAAAACAATAGTTAAAGGCAGGAATCTAAGGACAATCGAACAGCAAGAAGATCACAGGTGTTGTTATGGTAATCCATACAAACAAATCAAGCAACAACGAACACCAAGTCATCATTATCAACCAGTGCACAATTGTGTTTCGTCAGTAACTTGCAGCGATGTTGAGCAAAAATCGACATCATCAGTCAACTCCATCATTGCTCAACTAGTTTCTCATTTACCAACACAACAAAGACAACAACTGCAGCCTGTCTTACTCAAACATTCGGCCGTGTTTGATACGTCGAAAATAACAACAACGCCGAACATCGTAATGAAATTGATTGGGTGAATCTATTAACTTAAATAAAGTTTGTAATTAGAAAATTTGTGGCGGTTTTGACCATGCAAAAAAAGGCATTCACGTGTTTCTTTCTTCTTTCTCTATTTAGGATGTACTGGCGGAAGTACCCGATGTCGGTCTAGATAATGTGATAGTACATGTTTGACGTATGAGAAGACGACGTCGCTATGGTCTTCTATGGATTAGCGATCGGCGATATCGCACAATACGCTTGGATCTTTTCCTTCTCAACTTTTAGTATTTGATATTTTGAGATTTTCATAAATATCTTTTTTCTTTTCAATTTTCTTTATAAAACTACTTTTATTTAAGAAAAACTGTGCAATGAAAAATAATTTTTATTGCAAAGCTGCTTGATATACAATGTTGCTGGTTTTCGCATCAGGAGCAAAAATATATAAATTTTTTCCAGTTCCGACTCTTGAACACGCCACGTAAAGTTGACCATGGGAAAAGCAAGGAGTCTCTAGATTAATAAAGCTTGTCTTGCACGTTGGTCGCCAAGCCGAGTTTGTCTGCGCTCTAGACGCTCAGCATCTCTTGAGGCTGCCATTCTATTCGCAGCTGACGTACTTCTGCCCAGCAGAGTTCTTCGTTTTGCTGGCATTTTTTACTATTTCTAATGCAAGTAAGACAGATTAGAAATACTTGTCAAGAAGTGTAGGGCAGTGCGAAGATATAAAAGCAAGATGCAAGTACCTCAGAAATCGGAGAACATTTTCGACATTTTTTAAAAAGTCCGAAAATTTTTCCACCATTTTTTGAAAACGGGGGAAAACTTTCCTCACCCCCTTCTCTGTCTCGCCGACCCCGTCTTGACCTTCCTCTGGGCCCAAGGGTGTGCCATGCAAAGTTTGGCTGCTTTAGCTCTTATAGGGACTGAATGCATAGAGAACAAAGAAACATACAAACAAACTTTCTTCTTTATATATATAGATTTGCGTATACATAGAGTCACTGTTCATACAATTGATATAAGTTTTATTCTTTTAGAATACAACAGAAAAAAAGTTCCCTTATAGCATTCGAAACTAAAACTATCGAGAAATCCACAAGCCATTTTCGAAGAACTCAGCCTGTTTCAGTTTCTCTTTAAATTAAAGATGAAACGTATGGAAAGAGCATTGTCAGTTCTACTGATTTGACCGGTAGTTACTGATTTTTTTCTACTGAAATCCACCGTAAATAGATGGTTTTCCAACTGCCTACAAGTTGCTGGTAAACGGCTTCCTCATATATCGAGTTTCCACGAGAAGCTTGACCGTTAAAAGACGATTTACTGGCTGTAAATAGACAGTTTCAACTACCAATATACGGCGGTAAAACGGTCTACGTAAAATAGACGGTTTCTAGGACGTTTTTAGACAGTTAACAGGCTGTCAACTGGCAGTTTTTAGGAAAACGGTTGTTTCTATCTAGCAATTCGAGATTTTGAAGAATTCTTCGATTAACTTAGCTTCAGCAGAAAGGGATCTTGAATCTCAATAACAGACAATAAACTGACTGTTACCTGTTAGTTTTTTAACAGTTATTTGGATGTTAAAAGGCGGTTTTTTTGGCATACATGTAAAAAGCATTACATGGCTTATTAGATGTCAGGTATGCTTCACCTGGCAAGTTAAGCACACAGACTTGAAATGTCCTTCTGCTGTTTTCTTATTCCAAACTTTCCAAATAAAACCTCTCATAATTTCTGCTTGAATTTAAAAATTTCATTTAATGACCTTTCATTTTAGTCTTCAGGATGTTACCTGCTTGCCTCTTTCTGAACACTAATTGATCTCAAACCCGAAGTTTTTCCTGTTCGTCATCAAAAAATTCGTTGTCCAAATCCGAGTCGAAAATGACGGTTTGAACACCACTAGAAAGTACGCAGGTGCTCTATAGAACTCCCAAGAGGCTTAAAGCGGCATAAATATGCTTGCTAGAAAATGATCATTAGTCAAATAGAGTCTTTTGTAAGAAAAGTGCAAAGATAAAGTCTATCTCGCATATATGTGATGGCCCAGATAGTTTTGTGTATATTTTGTCTCAAAAGCCATATGCGATTTTGTACAGAGCCGCGGTTCCGGTTCCATTCACAGAACCGAAACCGCGGTTCCGATTCCCGACGAAGAACCGAAAATAAGAGAACCGCGGTTCCGGTTCCCGACGAAGAACCGAAAACAACAGAACCGCGGTTCCGGTTCCATTCTTAGAACCGGTAGCACGGTTTCGATTCCCGATGAAGAACCGAAAGCAAGAGAACCGCGGTTCCGGTTCTTAACGAGAACCTAACATCCCCCTGCTTCTTGGTTAGACGTATTGAATAGTACGTCTAACCAAGAAGAAGCAAATACAAAACGTTTTTTGTGACTTCTCTTTTCGTATTCACTTTTCACCCTTTGTTCAAAGCAAAAGAAAAGAAGTCATCCCTCTTCTTCTTAAAAAATATTCCAGTCGCTTTAAAATCGAAGAAATACAATTAGCATGTTATATATTACATATCAGGCCAGTTTTCGTAAGAGACCGTTACCCATCTTTTGATCCGGAATGTTACTTCGGAATCCTTGTCGCATCCTCGGACCACAAGGGATTGGTAGTCTTATCGTCTGCTTGGATCCCAAAGGTCTCTCTTCGACTGCTCGGAATTTTCTAGAGAGCTCACTACATATCTGAAAACCGATGATTGTAGGCCCCAAATTTCTGATTAAAATGAGACATCTCCCAGTGCTACATGACCTTTCTTTGCAAAGTTATAGAATTTACAAGAAAAGCCCTAAATGTTCATTGTCAGCTCAAAGCTACAGAAATAAGAAGAAATTAATTTAGGGCTTTTCTGGTAAATTCTATAACTTTGCAAAGAAAGGTCATGTAGCGCTGGGAGATGTCTCATTTTACTCAGAAATTTGGGGCCTACAATCATGCCTCATTAAAAAAGGTTTTGGTTATTTTTTAGAATTCTTGAAAAACTGGTTTTCCAGAAAACCGGGTGTTCAAGAGTCATGGGCACGAATCCTTTTAGGTTATTGCTAGCCATATTGAGATCTACTTGTGGTCAAAGTATGAGCTCTAAATCGAGGGGACACTTCGGGTACCTCCCTCGTCAGCCTTCGAATCTTCTCAATCTAACTTTATCAGATGAAGTTGAGACGAGTCGTCATTTGTCTACTCAAACAAACAAACACTCGACCACACCCGAGAACTAAACAGAGTTGAAAAACTAATTGCATTCCTGCTCGCGATCATCATTGAAGTATATATGTCTCACTGTGAGAGCGACTGGAAAAAAGAAAGACTCACTAAGATACGTTTTCTTATCTTTTACTTTATTATACAGTTTTTGTTTACTTTATTACTTCCCTCTTTTCTCGTACGTCCTATACCAAAGTGCGTAACTGTTTTGGTGAGTTTTCTGCGGAAAAATGAACATGATAGCTACAATGAATGCTCATGCTGTCGCCTGTGAGTAGATATATAGCTCAACATTTTTGTTATATTTCGGACAAAAATAGTTGACTTTCATATTAATGTCACAAAAAGAAAAACAGTTATCCCTGTTAACAATGTTGCTAAAAATGCTAAAAATCTCTTCAGTGTAATGAGTTTTGCAATTTCTCACAATATCTCCCACATAGAAGGAAAATCATTCCAACTTTGACATTTCATAATATTCACAAACCATTTATCTACAAAAGTCTGAACTTTGCCGCTTCTGGTCTCTTTCTAGCAGAAACTTTGAGGAATTAACAGAATTTAGGAAGCACACCTGCTGCGGAGCGCTACTTTAGATGTCAAATCTAAAAATTATTAATAATATCGTTATTTCAGTCAAACCCGATGGTCGTTCGTTGTCTTTATCAATTTTACTTCTTCTGAGACAAAAATTATTCAAAGTTGAACCACATCTTTTTCTTATTTTATTTTCTCTTGTTTTCTTCGTATTTATACTTATATCTTGCTAAACGTTTCGTCTTTGATTTTTCTCCTCAACCATGAAAGCAAGAGCAAATCTGAAAGTAGATTTGAATAGCCGAAAGAGTTTCCGATTTGGTGTAGTGTATTTAAGAGTTTACTCAAGATGTCTGAAAACCAGGATCTCTGAAAAACCCAAATCTCCGAAAGTCAAGTTCCTAAATGAGCTTGAGAAATTCTTTGCAAGTAACTTCATTGTAGGGAGCAAACATTTCTGAACAAAATAAGACGCTGTCAATCTCTCTGCGACATGTTTTCATGAAACAGCATTCAATTTACAAAAGGCTCTTGGTAGAGTTTGTTTGTTGTCCAGTTAATTTTCGTCATTTTGGTAGTATGTAACCGGTCGTAAATTGAATTCTATTTCATGAAAACGTGTCGCACGGAGCTCCACTACGTCTCATTTTATTCAGAAATGTTTGCTCTATACGATGGAGTTATTTCCAAAGAATTTCTCAAGCGCATTTAGGGGCTTGATTTTCTGAGATCTGGGTTTTCCAGTGATCTTACGAGTGAAGTACCCCAACTGATAAATCGCTTTTTCAACGAAACCGAGTAGACTATAGGTAGTCGACGATGCTGATTCTGAATATCACCATGAATGCTGCTGCTAGGCCTTCAAAGGCCGGTCTTCTGGAAAACCAGTTTTCGAGAAACTCTAAAGGACAATCAAAAGCTTTTCTTAATGAGGCGAAATTGTAGTCCATAAATTTGTGATTAAAACGAGGCATCTCCCAGCTCTATACGACCTTTCTTTGCAAAGTTATAGAGTTTACAAGAAAAGCTCTGAATATTCATTGTCACCTCAGAGCTACAGAAAGAAAAACGAAAAATGAATTTAGGGCTTTTCTTGTAAACTCTATAACTTTGCAAAGACAGGTCGTGTAGAGTTGGGAGATGCCTCTTTTTAATCACAAATTTATGGACTACAGTTACACCTCATTAAGAAAGCTTTCGGTTCTTGTTTAGAGTTTCTCGAAAACTGGTTTTCCAGAAGACCGGCCTTTGAAGGCCTAGCAGCACCATTCATGGTG